TTATAAAATTTCTTTGGCCTATATTAGCTACCAAAGAACAAGATAGTATTTACTAATTCAAGTAAGCTAGAGCTTGCAAAAGGTTTTAGCACTTACTTGTACCCTGTCTTTAGTTATATTTGGATCTAATATTCCTTCTATACAAAAGCCAGTGAATTGCCAAATTACTGTTTACAATAATAGCTATTACTTTTGTATAGAACAAGAAGACTAATACTATAATAATTTTAAGAAGAAGTATAAAAAGTTTGGAGCTATTAATTCTAATAAATATTCAAAAGCTTATCTCTTTTAGCATCTTAGATATACATAGAATCTAAAAGAGATAAAAGTTCAGAGGTTGCATAGTCTAAGTGTAGTTAGAAAATTCTTTAAAAGTTATTCAATTTTGTGGCACAGCAAGGAATATAAAGAAGAGTAAGTTGTAAAAATTGCTGTCAAGACTTTGGTCACGATTTATGCTCAAAGGGGCATTTTCCCACTATAATAAGCTTTGTAGAAAATATAGAGGACATTTCCACGAGTAGAATGGTATGTGTTTCATCTCTATAGGATCAAAACTTGTAGAGATATAGGCAAAATACGCTTGGATATTTAAAATCAAAAATGTAGAGGAGAAGGTATAAAAATAGCCATCACGAATTTGAACACGATTTACAGCTCACAGAGGCATTTTCATACTATTATATATATTGTAGAAAATGTAGAGAAGATTCTCACGAGTAGGATTATATGTGTTAAATTTCTGTAGGACCAAAACTCGCAGAGATATGGATGAAATATGTTTGGGCATCCAAAATCAGAAAAACTTCTTTGGGCTTCTTTACTAATGTTTTCTTCCAAAATAAAATGCCATCAAGTCGATTATCTCACCAGGGAAGTGAGATCGTACTAAGCAACCTATATACCATTTTAAAGGTATTATTATCTTTTAGTTTTTTTATATAAAATTTGAAATGGATTGAAGCAAAATTCATCGAGATATGTCTATTTTTCTACAGGGTTTTGTTTTTCTTTCTTTTTCCTGGGCTTTTCTTTTGATTTCTGGGATAGATTTTAGTGTTTCCGCTAGAAAGCACCAAAATGTTACAATGCTATTACCTTCTTAGTATAAATATAGCAAAGTAACAAGATCGTCTGGTGCAGTGATATACTTTATGAATATACACAAGGTAGATGTGAAGTATATACTTTAACTTCACAGCAGGAGGCAAATAGTTTGAGATAATAACAATTTATAGACAATAATATTTATTAATAACAGGTTTACGGTGATAATCTTGCCTGTAGGAATTACTCTAAAAAGTGAATATCACACTTTTACAAGTAGAGAAAGGTAATAGGGTGAAGCTAATTTCTATAAGAGGGTAGTGAACTCTCTATGAGAGTAGTCAAACTCTCTGTAAGAGTATAGGAACTCTATATGAGAGTATAAGAACTCTCTGTGAGAGTATAAAAACTTTCTTTGAGAATAATGAAACTCTAACTTGGTAGAAGAGGCAGGAGGCTTCCTTTTTATAACTTTTCAATAGATAGAAATGTAATGATATAATTGCTTAACCATGTAGAGGTACTCAGAGACACTTAGAGGTACTCTGTGTGAAGGCACTTAGAGGCACTCTGTGCAGAGGCACTTGGAGACACTTTGTGTAAAGGCACTCGGAAGTACTTTGTGTAAAGGCACTCAGAGGCACTTTGTATAGAGGCACTCAAAAGCACTTTGTGTAGAGGTACTCAGAGGCACTTTGTGTAGAGGCACTCAGAGGCACTTTGTGTAGAGGCACCCGGAGGCACTTTGTGTAAAGGCACCCAGAGGCACTTTGTGTAGCATACTATTTTACTTAGCTGCAGTATTACTGTGCCCTATTCTATTACCCAATAGAATCTTCTTTATTCTAGATATAACTGACTATAACTAATAATCTAATACTAATAATACAATAATGGAATATTTTCTATACTATGCTATACTAGTATTATTCTATGTTACAATCTACTTTGTAACAATAATATAAAATTGATTTTTTATAAAATTATTAGATAATTGATTAGAAAAATAAAATTTAATACTTCATATCTTTGTAATAAATTTGTAATTTTACTATTCTATTTCTAAACTTGACAACAAAAAATAAAAAAAAAATAAAAAAAATAAATTTATACTATTTAAAAAAATCTTATTAAAATTCTAACTTGTCAAAAAATTAATCTTTAAAAAAAAATTACAATTTATATACAGTATACAGTATTTTAATTTTATAAACAACTTAAAAACTAATATCTATTTATTTAAAAAATTTATTTTTATATGACTGCTAGTTATTAATTATAACATAACTATTTTTAAACCCATAAATTTTATTTTAAACGAGCACACTTCGAGCCAAGACATGTGTCTCAAATAAAATGTGTCCCAAACTTCCAAACCCTGATCACCATTGTTAGTTTCTAAAAAATTATTTAAAATAATTTATTATAAAAATCAAAGGCATTTCATTTGCTTAAAAGGCAGTATACCAAAACGTTGATGAAAATGAGCAATTAGGATGTTCGATTAAGTTTTATTTTAAGGTTTCTTGCGAACCGTCTAATTTATATTTAATATTCTTTTTAATACTTACGTCTAGAGGCAGGTGGTTTTGGTCAAGTATCAGATAGGTAATTATGAGTGGCATTTTTGAATTAATATTAGACTAGAAATAGTAATACGTCTAGTAAAGTTAAAATACACGATCATCAATAAAGTGTAAAGTTTCGCCGATAATAAATTATTTACTCGAATATTGAATTTCTTTAATTGATTTGATTGGTCAAGTAATTACACCAACCACATGAATGTCTTTCCAAGAAGTAATAACTTTAACAGGTTAACTCCGGAACACTTTTGATAATACGATTTATAGCCGGGTAGTAGCCCTATAATCTGGGCGGGTAACCCGGACATTAAATTTTATATTAAATTTAATCTCTAGATGTAGGAGTGGATTGAACTGTTAAAACTGAAGAATTATCTTTAGAATCTGAAATAATTAACGGATACACGATTATAATTAGCGTTCCTAGGAAAAGTAAACGTAATGTAAAAATGGAAGTCCCATGACAATAATATTACCATTAAATGATGTTAATGATCCTGAAACAGACTTAGAGCGCTTGCGAAAATTTCCGAGAGTAAGATTTCCTAAGGATAAAGAAATTTTACGAATTTTCTTTTTTAACCGATCCTGTTAAAATTGTTACCGTTAGCATTACATATGTCAAACTAACAGTATTTCAAAGAAAAAAAAAAAAAATCATACAATTAATGTGTAGGCACTTTTAACTTCCTCATCAGTAACTGTAAGCGTCTGATACTTCTTTGGGTCAGTATCATCTCGCCATTTCTGTGGATTTGGTAAGTCAGCAATTACCCAAGGATGATTCTAAAAAATCAATTATATAATTGATTATTTTTGATATTATTTATTATCAAGAGACAATTATTTTTTTTTGCCGATTGCGTGTACTAACTTTAACTTCTCCCAGAGTGATCCTTTTTTGCGGATTTTTTTCTAATAACCTTGTAAGTAAATCTTTTAAACTGTCTGAAATAGATATATCCTCAGGAAATTCCAATGGTTGCCTAGGTATAACATGAAAAAATAATTCAAATTCCGTATCTGCTATGAAAGGACATCTTCCGAAAATGAAGCAATATAGTGTGACACCAAGGGCCCAGACATCGATAGCTTTGGTAATAGGAGGTCGTTGTCCTCGTACTGATATAGAATTGGTAGTTGAATGGGATTTCGGAAGCGATTCAGAAGAATTACCAGAATTACCAGTTACTATCGAAGTAGAATTTATCTCCAGTGTCAAATCTCCTGAATATATGAACAATTTAAAATATTTTTTAAAATAATAATTAATAATAAATAAATAAATAAATAAAATAATCTTGACTTACCGGGAAAACACAGTTCAGGAGCAAAAAACGCAGGACTTCCAGCGGTTTTAATTAAGTCCGCATCTTCTTGATTAGGTGCAGGATTATTATTTCCTTGTAACTCGACTGCGGCAGCACGTTGGCTGAAATGTGATACACCAAAATCTGAGATTTTTACAACATTATCGGCGGTGAGTAATAAGTTGGCAGGTTTTATATCTCTATGTATAATGCCCTGATAATGAACTATAAATGATAATAGTATGTTTAATACGATTCAATAAAAATAAAATATATTAAATTTATCTCGCCTATTACTCACGATATTCCAAACCCAACACTACGTCTCTAAATATCCGCCTTGCCTCATCAACACTTATAACAGGCCGGTCATGTTCATCTTTCCATTGTATTTCACCACCTTCCATATACTCGATGACTAAAATTTATACATCGATTTAAAAAGACAAAAGCATTTAACATTAAGAAAACAAAATATTTAAATGAATTGAAAGGATGCGATAAATGGATATCAGCGATCCCAAAGTTTTACTACAAACCCACTGAAAATTCCTTCATTAAAGTGCTTCAAGACGATAAATAAACATACCCATATAAATTTTTCTACTCATTGGATCATCAATAACTTCTTTCAACCTAACAACATGTGGGTGGACACATTTTTTTAGTATTGCAATTTCTTTTCTAATTTTTTGCTCATTAGTGAGATCATTGTTCCTTGAGCCCAAGCGACGACGTGTTACTCTATCAACAATTTTTATGGCCTTTATTTGATGCAAATAATGAAAGAAAAATATACAATGAAAATAAGTGAATAATTCATAATTATTCATAATTAGTCTCAATTATACTTACAACCAACTCTCCCAGCTCCATGTCTTTCCCCAACTTGACTTTTCCATGTACACCCCTGCCTAATTCTTTAATTAACATATATTTGTTAATCATCTTATTACCAGTTGTGGGATCATAGTCTTTATACATGGTATTTGTTTCTTTAACTTCTATTCTGGGTGCAATATGGCCACGAAGAGAAGATTTACGTTCCTTTTTCTTTCCGAAAATCGCCGACAAGATAATGATTTACACAAAATTACACGGGCTGCAAATCTTATGCACATGCAGAGCACTAAGCTTGTGACTAAGCGAGGGTGTACACTTTGAGAGGTTCGACTGTACTAAACACATGCTTGCTTTCGGTGCGCAAGCCTATCAATCAACGTGCTGGATTATACCAATCTTCGTTTTTATTATATTGATACTTTTCATAAATAAGGTAAATAGAAGAGCGATTAGTAAAATATTGGCAAATTCAGGCGTTATACATCAATTACCATCTTTAAATAATATAATTATGTTAACATACGTACGT